AAAAGAAAAGGAAAAAAAAAAAAAAAGAAAAACCTCCAAATATTTAATTTTATCCTTTATTATTTGACAATCCTGTATCCCTTCCCCACTGCCCAGCCTGGCCAGAAGCTGCGCCCTTAACCCATTCCATCTTTACGTTGAATGTAGTTCCCCCACCCCATGGGAAAGAGAAGCTGTCAGGTCACGGTGGCTGCTATAAGTCGGGAGGGGGCGGTTTCTTTGTTTTGTTTTGTTCTTTTAAAATTTCCAGCCAAAACCAAAGATTTCCTAATGATTGTATAAACTCAAAACAAACAAACAAACCAAAGACAAAGGGCGTCTTCAACACCAAGCCCACCTGTGAGGCCGGCTGGTGGCAGCGGGGAGAGGGCCCCGTGGGGAGGCCGCCCCTGCCGCCATGGCGGTGGTGGGGCCTAGGCCAGGGCCTAGGCCGAGGCCCCGGCCCAGGCCGGGGTGCGGGCGCTGGCAGGGGGCTTCGCAGGCGGGTTGAGGAGCTGAAGACACGGGTGCAGGATTGGCTGCTCTGCTGGGTGCTTGAACCCTCTGGGGGCTGGGTGATGTTGATTAATACACGCTGAGGTGCACTTCTGAGCTTCCCCCCTCCCCGCCACTGCTTGGAAGAGGCTGTCCTGTTGTGAGAGATCCCTGAGAGGCGAAGAAGCTTTTCATTTCTCCTCTAGCTCCTTTTTTTCTATATTTCGTTTCTTTTTGCAGCACCACTGTGCAACTATGCATTGTATTTCTCAACCTTTTATGCTAGGTAGATGCCTGTGACTTTTTAACTTTTGGGGGGGGGATTGCAAATGGAGGAACTTTTTACATGGATCTTTTTAATCTCAGTTGATTGGGGGGTGTTTGGTTCTAGGGTCATACAAGCTCTATCCCAAAGCAAAATCCAAATGTTAATATTATTAGCCTGATGCAGATACCAAAGATAATTTCTTTCCTGCAGAACCTTAGACTTGTGTATTAAGTACGATTACCCAGCACTTGCATTAGTCTAACCTCAGTAATTCCAAAGCTTAGATGTATATTTTGGTATATTTCTGGGATATTAAAAAATTGTCGTTTAAATTCTTGTTTGTTTCAGTGTAATGCTCTTAAAGTCATAGCATGGAGATAACTGAACTTGTCCTATTCTTAGTAGTTTGAAATAATAGTATTTTTGTATGTTTTGGGTGTGTCTATGTATGTATTAACATAACAGTTTTCACTGCCTAGGTGTTCATAAATAAAACAACTAAGGGTTTTTAAAGTGTACATAATATTCCATGAAGAATTTCCACCAGACCGCCAATTCGGATTGCATTTTCACTGACGGCCGCTCCCAACTGGGATTCTTTCTTTCTTTTTTAAAGAGACAGCATATTCTTTTCTTTTCTTTTCTTTACTTTTCTTTATCTTCTTTTCTTTTTTCTTATTGACCTGAAGTCTTTCTCAGAGTAGAAGAGTTTTCACTAATTTGAAGGATGGGCCAGAGAAAAGATAGCTTAAATTTCATTAAAAAAAAAAAGAAAAAAAAAAAAGGAAACAATAATAAGCTACTTGTTAGTTTTCAAAGTCTCTTTCTGTGAAGAATTGAGGCTTAAAAATCAAGTTCTTTCTTCTAAATCTGGCAAGAATTTTCAAAGAGATGATGATTTATGGTGAGCACAGTGTCTGTGCCAGTGCGTTTTCTTTCCTAAACGAGACAAACTTTCCGTTCAGCCGCTCTCTGCAACTGCCTCGGAGCACTGCCTCGGAGCTGCGCTTTTCTCTTGCCCTTCCTCACATCCTGCGTTTATGCACTTCAGGTCAGCAGAACACTTGAAATCAAGGGCCATATGGGAGTAGCTGCACCCAAACGAAACACAAGCTCTTCTTGAGAATGAAATGTGAACGTCCCGCACATTTCAAAGCCTCGCTGTTCGCATTGGGGGCGAGGAGGAAGGCAAAATGCTGTCTCTTTAAAGATACCCTTTATTATTATTATTTTCCCAGTGGTTGCCTACAGATAGCTGTAGGCATTGAGAGATTGTGTAGATTACAGTAAATCAGGATGAAAAGGTAGATTTTGTGTAGATGCATTTGTCTGCTGTAATTTTTTATATATATTAAACTTACTGTAATTGTACAGTTCATTTCTGTTGTAAACATCATTAAACCATTTTCCAAGTGTTTTAACATGTATGCACTTGTTTGTGATTTTTTAAAATGTGTCAGGGAAAGAAGGATATTTCTCCTTCCCACTAATCTAACTGGGCCATAAGACTTTTCTTTCATGTTCTTTGTCATGCCAAAAGGGTCCCCTTTTTTTGCGCTCCACTAGAAGCTTTGTTGTTCCACTATTTTTGTATTATCAACTCCTCTTCTAAAAGAAAATCAACAGCCTTGGTTTTTTCCTGAACATAAAGTGAAGACATGGCCTGCAGCAGTGGTGAGTGTCCCCCAAACAAGTATATTGGATGCCTTTTGTGATCAGTATTCACATGCATCGCAAGAGAGTCTCTTTTCCTCTAACAATGTCTTCCCCCCCAGTTGAATCATTAGAAGAGCGTCTCCAGCAGGTCGAGAGAGGTGATCGTCCCCCTCTACTCAGCCCTGGTGAGGCCACATCTGGAGACTGTGTCCAGTTCTGGGCTCCCCAGGACAAGAGGGATGTGGAGCTGCTGGAGAGAGTCCAGCGCAGGGCTACCAGGATGATCAGGGGCCTGGAACATCTGCCCTGTGAGCAAAGGCTGAGAGAGCTGGGTCTGTTCAGCCTGGAGAAGAGGAGGCTGAGGGGGGACCTGATCAGTGTCTATAAATACCTCAAGGGAGGCAGTGAGGAGGAGGGGGCGGCCTCTTTTCAGTGGTGGCCAGCGATAGGACTAGAGGAAACGGCCACAAGCTGAGGCACCAAAAGTTCCACAGGAACTTAAGGAAAAAATTCTTACCAGTGAGGGTGCCAGAGCCCTGGCACAGGCTGCCCAGACAGGCTGTGGAGTCTCCTTCTTTGGGAGTCTTCAAAACCCGCCTGGACGCCACCTTGTGCCCCGTGCTCTGGGTGTTCCTGTTRGAGCAGGAAGGTTGGACTAGATGACCTCTAGAGGTCCCTTCCAACCTTGAACATTCTCTGATTCTGTGAAGACGTTAATCTGCTTGCTCATTAAAAAAGGCCAGGTACATTTATGATATCCCTTTAAAACCCACTTGGATGCAGCCCTGTGCCCCATGCTCTAGGTGACCCTGCGTGTGCAGGGGGGTTGGACTAGATGATCTCCAGAGGTCCCTTCCGGTGTTAAGCATTCTGTGATTCTATGTATTGTGATCATTGAAACTTGACTTCTGTATCTTGCAAGTAGGACATTGTGACTTTAAAAAAAAGAGATTACATTTTCAGTAGCATACTATCAGCTGCAAATTTACCTTAGCCTTGCAGCCTAGTTATTTTAGGTAGCACTCAATTCACTCACATTTTTTTTTCTTGTCTTATTGCTGAGGAACAGTAAGGGAACCAAGAAATTCATGGCAAGTCATTTATTGCCATGCTTGAGTGGTCTCAGTCTTACTTTTTTGCACTAATTTGCCGTCCCTGAAATATTCAAGAGATATAAACACCTACTGCAGATACAGTTTTACTGCTTAAGAAATTATGCACAGCCTTGTAATTTACATAATAGCAATTTCAGCAAGTCTCTCTGMTTCTAATGCAGAGAACAACAAACATGAAACTTTTATCTTAACTGTGCCAGCAGGGGCAGCTCTTGTTCCCATATGTCACACAGCTCTGCTCTGTCAGGACTGATGAAATAAACTGGTCAAACCCTGACCAAAGTTAAAATAACCCGTACTTTTCTGGGTTACTCTTACTCTGGGTGAGTCGCTTGTAGGAGTTTGTGACGCTTGTCAGTCAAGGGCATGACTGCGCGGGCAGCGGGAGCTCTGCGTGGCTTTTAGGGTCCGTGTGACGAGGCCGTCGCAGCGTCGCTTTCCCCCGTTCCTGTGGTGCCGTGGGCACAGATAACACACACACACACACACACACACACACACACACAGTGTTGCTGCTACCTTTATTCACTCAAGAAATGCAGTACAGTATTGGCTGGCACCATTTTGGAAAAACACCTGGGACAGGGCTTAGTGTACCTTGATGGTATTTCCATTAGCTTGGATACGAAGCAGTTTTTGCCAGCAAATGGTTATTTTGGTTTAGTTTTACTTTAGAATAGTCACCAGAATTTTTATACAGGGAAACAACTGTGCAGTGACATTTGTAGATGTTGCAAATGAGCGGGGCAGAAGTGAAGCAAGTACATCCTGTAGCCGAATTCTTCAGTATGAGGTTTCTTGGATTCTTCAACGTTATTCAYATTTAGAGTCTATGCTCCTTATTTYCACTGCAACTAGGGCATCTTCTGCCTTCTGAGAAATTTCTTAAAGTGATTACCTTGCTCTTGTTTAGTTTCATTTGCTGGAAGAGTGACCTTTTGTTGCAGCTAGTGCTGATTTGCTTCATATCAAACAGGTAAGTGCAGCTGGACTTTCACTGCATTAATGTTGGGTCACTTTTTACAGTTAAAGAAAAAAACTTGCCTCTTGTTAAAATAGTTTCTTAAAGGTAAATTTAACTCTCAAATTTAGTTGGCCCTATGTTTTTATCATAAATAATGCAGGAAATAACTACAGCCTTATCCTTACAAGGGATGCAACAACTGCAACAAAATCATAATTACATAACATGGTGCCCTTTGAAGGCAAGTGAGAGCCAGGGAAACAGTCAATAGGAGAACCCAGGAAACTGCTCTGGTCCTACRACACAAATCTTACAAAAACCAGGCCAATAATTACTATCACTGGAACCAAGTGACTTTACAGTTATGTACATTTTAATAGCTAAAGCTTGCAGTTGCATGATTCAGGAGGGAGAGGAGAAGAGGCTGACCAAGTCCAGAGCTGTTCCCTCTGTGCACAGACCGAAGGGGTTCGTTGCACTGAGAGAATGCACGCTGCCTCGACCGCAGAGATGCCCCTCTCTCCTTCCCCAAGGCAGGGGGGCATCTCTCACCTCTGCCCATCCCCTCCGTGCCTCCCACTTAGCGCGGGGGCAAAGGCTGCATCTGGAGGGCATCGTACGTGTCCTTGGTTGCTGCACAGAGCCCCTGGAGAGAGAAATGAAAAAAAGAATGAGGTTAGTGAGACTGGGGGGTTCTCCCTGCTTGACTGATCAGGAAGAAGTTGGCAGGGGCTCGGGGACATAATTCAGTTTTTTTTTTTCTACAGTTTATTTAACTCATGACTGTTTCCTTAGTCTTTGCATGGCGTCAATAGCTATCACTTACTTGAAGGCATGATGCATTCTGAATGACTGTTAGGAGTTTACGACTAGAGCAAGTCACCCAAACAGGTCAGGCAGTTCCTCAGAATACACTTTATTATTGATTGTCAAGGGCCGGCTGTTGCTTGTCTACCAACAGAATGCACAGACATCACAAGCTGAAAACACTCTATGAACTTCTCCTTCAATAACTTGGGAGAGAAGTAAGATGCAACATGAGGACAGTTGGCAGTGGGGCTTCAGCTGGCAGCTGATGGCAGCCCCATCCTGCAGCAGCTGTGTAGGCCGCCTCCTCTGATGCTGGTAAGTCAGCCCCAACATGTGCAGATCCCTGCTGCCTCCGTGGGGCTGCCGACTGCGGGAGCAGGGCAGAGCAAAACATGGGAGAGGCCACAGGAGGGCCCCAGAAGCTACTGGAGGGGACATAACTGGGACTGCCAAGACTGAGGACTTCACTTGGGGACATGGTTCTTCCTTGTGCCATTTCTGGCTACCTCTGTTAGGAATATTTAGTGCAATATAATCTCCGCAGGGCAGTTATGAGACCTAATCTGAACCAAACCTATACTGTGACTGGAATATGTTGATAGGACATTGCTTTTTATCAGCTAACTGTGACGATCTTGGCAGAGCAGGTTTTGAAGAAACGTACTGGTTAGCTATGAGTATGGCCAGGGTACAAGAAAACTCCCTGCCACACACAATGTGTTTATGATTTTGAGATGTCACTGGCAATGTACAGGCTTCTATGGGGAACTGAAATGCATCATTTSTCAAAAATGTGCATAGCAGCCTGAATAAGGGCCTCGTGATAGACTCCTGCCCGCTGCTATATGTGTGCAGCTCAGAAAGCCCTGATCAGACTGTGCACTGCATGCTGTGGTGGAACGGCCTGAACCACAGGTGCTTCGAGCCACTGCTGCTGTTTGAGAATCTGGAAGGAAGGGCTGGGCCATTTAGAGGAGTGATTTCAGAGCCAAAACCATGTGCATCATCTGCTATAGCCAAAGGTGATTCTCCAAGGATRTAGGATTCCTCCCAGAGCTGCTAGGTAATTCCTCCTGCCTGTTGTACCTGGCACACACAGACACTTCATCAAAGTCACAACGTAAAGGTCTTTGTTCTGGCTCTGAGTAACTGCGTCCAGAGAGGTCCTCTGAAAGCCGTGCAGCACCAGGCCTCACCAGCATCGTCGCTGGATATGTAGCCAGGATGTACAGTTACACTGTGGCTACAATCGAGGAGGTTGTGGGATGAGTTGCCTACCTGGTAAACAGCATCGTTCCCTTTGCCTCGCCGCCTCTGCTGCATTGGGGAAGAAAAACAAGCAGACGTATGTCAAGGAGTGCTCTTCCCGTTACGCAAAAAGCAAGAAACCCCTGATTTCCCCCTCGTCCTCGGAGGGTCAGCCYTGTGCAGGTGGAAAGGCTGCTGCCCAGCGCCGTGGAGGCTTCCCCAGCCTCTGAATCCAGCCAGACACGCTGCTCCTCAGCATCTGCCCCAAGCAGGGCGGGAGGAGAAACGGGCAGGAGTACAAAGAGAAGGGGAACTATGTTGGGTTCATACAGGATTTCTTAGCGTGCTGCTGTAACGCTGCTGTTTGATTTGCTGGTGCATGGAGATCTGGCAGTGTTTCTACAGGCACTTCTTGTTTTACGAGCTTAAGGTACACTTGGAAGAAACTTTTTTTTTTTCAGATGTAAGATAGTGTCTGAGCATCTCCACCCTTACTCTGGACAGTCATGGAAAATTAAATCCTCTAGCTTGCATCTTGTAGACATAAATTCAGAGAAATTCAAAGGAATTGCAGATAAGTCAGTCTGGGGAAAGAGTCACCTGGAATTCAGTAAAACAGACACCAGTCTGGCTTGGTAGAACTAGATCACACCAAGTCTTTCAGGGCCCATGGAAAAGTCTGGGCATGGGCAAAGGCTGAGCAAAGCCCCGTCCTGACCCTGCTGGCAGTGCTCAGGGCAGGGGAGCTGTGAGAGGAAGCTGCAAAGAGCAACTCCCCAGGGAGAGAGAACCGGGCACTGGCAGCGCTCAGAGCCACTGCAGGAAGGGCGACGCTTCGGGCCCAGGGCTCCGGGCTGGAGAACACTGAGTCCCTGCGGGTGCTTCACGCACATTGCAAACAGCAAAAAGTAGTGTCTGCTTCAGCTGAAGATTCAGTACTGCTAAATGGTTGCATCGTCATGCATTTAGAATGGGACCAGTGCCTTTTTTTTTCCTGATAATATTGACATTCATAAACAGAAACATGGAGAATCCCAAGTTGATCTTGAAAATGGCAAATAGAATAATAAAAAGGTGGGAATGCAGTAACAGAGTTGCTTAAGCGTTTGCCAAAATGAAATTTTGTCGAAATGCCCATTTTCTCCCTTTTCAGAGAGAAATGGGAATTTAAAAAATGTGACACTGTCCCAAACCGAAGTCTGTGTGCCACAGTAATTTTTCMTTTTGCCATTCCTTGCCAGCAACAATGTTCAAAGATGGTTTTCGTAGAATCATTATGGTTGGAAAAGACCTTCAAGATCTTGGAGTCCAACCATTTGTTCTAACACAAACTTCCCTCCTATTTTTTTTGTGGACAGAAATAAACCCATCCCTTCTTTTTTTCATTATTATTGCTACCTTCAGACATTGCTGCCCTGTTTGAAAATGAATGTGGAGGAAGGAGAGCATTTCCCCAGTTTGTCTGAGGACAAACTCAAGCCCATAGAGAGCTTGAGCCTCCATTTCTGAAATGCCTTGGATGAAACTGCTCAACTACTATGAGTGGCTGGGCAAAATACACACTGCAGCCCTTGAAATCAGACATTTCCTCACCCACCTGATATCCTCTGCCTCTTCAGTAGYGGGTAACAGCTGGAATTGTTTTGTCCAAAAGTTGAAATGTTTTCCCTTGACCTTAGCCAAGCTGCTCAGGGACACTGTTGATGTGCAGGACAACGTACCTCACTGTCCAGCCTCCACTTTGCTTTATGGCTACTAGAATTCTAGTGCTATTGGGCCGCTGCTCTGTAGGGGAATGGGAACGAAGAGCTTTTCATCCCAAGCCTTCAACAGGGGGGAAGGCAGTACTCACCTCTCCCTTCTTTCCAATCTCGCTGTACGCCTCGCCCATCTTGTCCTTCTGCAGTGACTGCAAGCAGAGAGGGCCAAAACGTTAACAGGAAGCCCCCGGGGCAAATCCACGGCCCCCCTGCGCCTCCGGGGCTTCCTGGCCTCCACCCAAGCCCCTTCAAAACCTTGTCCTCCTTCTGTGGGACAGGTCAGCGGTGGATCTTGGCTGATGTACATTAAAATACATGCATGKCATGCATGAAAAAGTTATGCCTTCTATCAACATCACCTCATCTCTAAACATTTAAATAGCAGTAACTCTACCCTCAGGAGGAATTTCTCATAAAACCAATTCACTTTCCTAGCTCAACATCACATACTAGACCACCACAACTCTCCAAAGAACATCTTTCAGCACCTTTAGTTCAGGGAAATCTCTAACACTGCGGAGTGCAGGTTARCAAAGGGAAGCTCCTCTTTCCTCCATCCAGGAAAATGTTTCGCAGACTCTTAGGCCCTGGTGCACAGGGCCTTCTGATCCAATCAGGATAAAGGCCTAAAGTCTTAGAAATACACTCATTTCTTCTTCTTTAGTACTGAACACCAAGAAAGCCCAAGAGTGAGGCACAGGTATTAGTGTCTATGTATCTATCCCTTGGAGCACAGACCATCAAATTGTGCTAGTGCTGAATTAATCGAAACAAGAGGCTCCCTGGGTGCCGTTCCCAGAAGCACTGCTGTGTGTCAGCAGCCAGCTGGGCCGCAGCACAAGGCCCTAAAATGACTCTGTAGTCACCCCTCTGGCAGGACAAGGCTGGGGAYGCTCCCCCACAGCTAAGCCCATGCAGAGCGGGTATGGGGATTCATGCTGTTTTCCCCATCTGCCCCAAKCAGTCAGTGTTTTCTCCTATTACTGAGGCATGGTCACAAATAATCTAGCAAACACAAGAAATACAAAAACAGCTGAACAAAAACAAAACAGAAAAACAGTCTCGTCCTCAAACTTCTGTTTGAGGAACTGCTAARTCTGAACCAAAACCAGAATTGGGTGGGTAGGGAGGTGGGTCTTCTACGAATTAGAGAGCCCTGTTTGCAGCCAGCCCACCCCCGGCTCTGCCTCTCCCTGCAGCCTCCTCTACTCACAGTGTAGACGGTGTCCGGCGGCGCTGGTCGTCTCTGCTGCAAAACAAAGGCAGAAAGTTGCCCACAGGTTGCCCACAGGTTGCCCACATGCTGCCCACATGCAGCACTCTCAGCATCTTCCACCCTCCGCCGTGCCTGTGCTTCAGTGCCGAGGCCCACATACAACCCCATGACCGTGTCCATTGCAGCCCACGGGGCCCCCTCCCATAAAGCTCTGTCGAGACAGCCTGTGCTCTGGAAATTAATTCTGCTTTAATAAATGAGAAAACTTGGCCCTTCTCCTCTCAGTCTCTACTGCTGCCATCTGCGGGCAAGCCCTGAGCGCCGAGGCAGCAGGTTTGCCCTCTGTTTGAAACTGTCTAGCTCTGCTAGGGAGGGGATCCTGYCCCTCTCCTCAGCTCTGGTGGGGCAGCACCTGGAGTACTGGGGGCAGTTCTGGCTCCCCAGTATGAGAGGGACATGGAGCTTCTAGAGTAGGTCCAGCAGAGAGCAACCAAGATGATTAAGGGACTGGAGCATCTCTCGTATGAGGAGAGATTGAGTGAGCTGCGCCTGTCTAGCCTGGAGAAGAGAAGACTGAGAGGGATCTGATTAAAATGTTTAAGTTCATGAAGTGGGAATGTAGGGAGGAAGGGGCCAAGCTCTTCTCAGTGGTGGCCAGTGACAGGACAAGGSRCAATGGGTGTAAGCTGGAGCACAGGCAGCTCCATCTCCATGTGAGGAGGAACTTCTTCCCTGTGAGGGTGACAGAGCCCTGGCACRGGCCGCCCAGGGAGGYTGTGGAGTCTCCTTCTCTGGAGATCTTCCAAACCTGCCTGGATGCCGCCCTGTGCCCCGTGCTCTGGGTGTCCCTGCTGGAGCAGACGGTTGGACTAAATGATCTGTACGGGTCCCTTCCAACCTCAGCCAGTCTGTGATCCTGCTGTGGTTCCCGCTGTGGGCACCTGCTGGGAGGCACCACAGGCAGGGAGCGCTAGTGAAGCGCCCCTGGTGCCTGCCCTGCTCCACATCCGCCCGCGCTGCCCGCCTGGGTGTCACTTCCTATGCTGAGAGGCTGCAAGTTCTCAGCAGCAGGAGCCGTGGGGTGAGGGGCAAAGATGAAAGGGGGCGGTTTTGTTCTTGTCCCTGCCCTGCTATCAGCCTTGTGACTTGCTGCACCGATCACRCCGTTCCCTCTAGCAGAGGGCACGGATGTTTAGCACATGCGTGCTGAGAACCTGCATGTCTGAACAGCGGTTAGACACAAGAGGAAAAGACCTAGATGAAAAGAAGAAAAAAAATGGGGCATGTGTGGGAGGAAGTTACCTGGTGTCTCCCACCCATCTCGGGGTCTGCACCTCTCTTCACCCCGAGAACATCATATTCATCCCTATGACCACGAGACAGTTTCTGCAATTAAAAGAAAAGCAAGAGGCAGTGATGGACATTAAGATCATGAGACAACAGACTTAATACAAGAAAAGCCAAAGACTCCAGTTTGGTGCCCAAAATCATGGGCTTGGTGCCCAAAATTACGACTGCTGTAACTGAGACGGAAACTATTTTCACCCTTGATGATATTGCCAACAAACCTGTCTACTACTCGGCACTGAGCTGCGAATGCCCTGTGCTGTGCAAAACTGTAAGCCGTTGCCTCAAGGCCTTCTCTCAACTAGAAATGAGCCTAGCAGGGAGAGCAACTCGGACTTCTACACTTTGTTTGCCAGTGGGGGTTGACGATTAATGCCCTTGATCTTTCCTGCAGAACAGCTGGCCTAAATTTGTATTAAGGGAATGCAGAAAGTTCGTGCCCAACTCATTTCTTATCTGGGACCAKTTACCCTGGAAGAAGGTAAAGGGATGATCTCAAGTCAAGCTAATGTACTAGTCTGGGCGGGAATGTCTGGAAATTGGGTTCCCATTTCTAGACGTGCACAAGGAGTATCCAATGCTATTCAAAAGTGGGCACTTTTAAATGAAAAAAAAGTGGATTTTTGAAATAGTTTTAGTTTATTGAAGATTTTTTTTTCATATATTAAGTAATAAGGCAGTAGAATTCATTATCATAGGATATGATAATATCCTGACCATATGATCAAGAGCTTGAGACTAAAGAAAACAGCAAAAGACGACCAGACATATCAAAACTAACTTAGAAGTTAATACTGCCAGGAATGAGCAATTTGGCCAGAAAGGACAGTCAGGCCCTTGTCTCAGTCTTTTTTCACTGTCTGAAGACCAGTTTCATGCCGTCCACAATCAGGGCACAGTGGGCAAGGTTGCCCTCCAGCACAATCCCATATGGCAGCTCTCATGTGGCAGACAAAACGAGCAAGCTCAGGGCTGGAGATTTCAGGGCTGTGTGACTCAGGCTCCATAGCCATGGTGGTGCAAAGGCTACAGACCCCCAGAGCCAGCGGTGCAGAAATCCTGGGCAGTTACCTTTCCTCCAGCCCACAGCAGGGAAATCAGAAAAGCAGGTATGTGTGATACCTGTGGGCCAGCACAAGCTGCAGCTGGATTATGTTAGTGACGATGTGGGAGCCGCATGCCCACCTGCCGAGGACTGTGTGTGCACCAGGGGGTGGTGTGTGCACATGGGGGTGGTGTGTCCACATGGCGGTCATGTGTGCATCAGGAGGTGCACAAGGGGGTGGTGTGTGCACCAGGAGGTGATATGTGTGCTCACCACACGTAGCCATCCACGGGCCACGTGCACGCGGCTCTTGTGAGCGTGTTACCTAACGGGGCACGGAGAGCCTGGGCTCCATTCAGCCTTGGGTCCTTGTCTCCCTTCACGGTTGTACATGAAATCAGGCCCCACAGTCCACATACAYCCCTGGCATCTAACCAGATAACACACCACAGGTTCCCCTTGTCAGGCTTTATTTTGCCTCCTAACAGCTGTGCTGCCTGCTTCCGGCTATTTCTTTCATTACTGGGGCTCATCCAAAGCTTTTCTGATCCACAGGCAACTCACCATGTTTGATTAGGTGCCCTAAAAAGAGTAGCTGGATAATAGATTTGACAAAAAWATATATATATATATGTTTTATATATATTTATAAACATATATAAAAACATATATAAAACATATTTTATATATAAACATATATATATGTTATAAAACATATAAAAACAAAAAAAAACATATAAAAAATATGTTTCTATAACATATATATAAACATATACATATTTTTATATATAAACATATATATATAGGTTACAAACGAGCGAACCAACCAACCGGGAGTACTTACGTTATACACATCACTGGGGTCGGGCTGCAGCTGCGGCTCGGCGGCTCGGCTGAGCTGGAAGAGAGGAGGCACCGGGGTGAGCACCAAGGGCTGCCACGTCCTGCAGGCCTCTCCCTCCCATGGGTCGCCCGTGGCCCAAACGGGGCACCATAGGTGCAGCCAACGCAGCAGGGGCACTGTGGTGGGTTTGGGCCGTACAAATCACTGCTGCGTGGGTGCTTTTTAACATCTACCTTGCCTGTCTGCTTGTTGAAGACAAGTTGTTTTAGTTGTGCATTACGCTACTTCACCGTTACTCAAAATTATTGTTAGTGACCGCTAACGCATGGGTGAGGGGTTGACCTTCTGTAAGGCACTCATTGGCACTGCTCCTCATGCCATCTGTGTTTCATGTTTGGGGTAGGCTGGTTCAGGCAAAAATAGTATATTTGAGATCAGTGAGAGCAGCTACTGGAGTGCTTGTCATTTCAAAATAAAATAAAATAAAATAAAATAAAATAAAATAAAATAAAATAAAATAAAATAAAATAAAATAAAATAAAATAAAATAGCCAAACCATATACTCAGCATTGCTTTTGACCATTTTTACTTATTACAAATAAATTAAATTTTCTAACTGGAATTGCATTCATGGAATCTAGAGGGATAAGTTTGACTGATTTTTTAAATAATGTGTGTGGTAAGTGCAAATTATCCCTCCCCTCTTCTTTCCCTGTGGAAAGGCCATTATGATCCCCTGGTCCTTGCTAGGGCTGGCATTCACCAACCAGCCAAACCATGTTTCCCACAGGGGAGCCTTAAAGCTCCACGTAAGCCRTAAGATAAATACCATGGCAAAAGCCAGGTGCTACCCTAGGCTAAAGCACCTGGCAGCAATTCTATCAGCCAGGAGGTGAGATGGCAAAAACATCACAGCTTGGAACATTTTCCAAAAAAAGTTGCAGGCTGGTGTCAAAACGGAGGCTCCCCTGGAAAGCCCTTTGTCAGCCGTCCAGTGCCCGGCATTTCTGCTCAGGCGCCCCTGCGGGTTTCAGCTCGAGGGACTCGGCTGACGAGCTCCGGCCCGGCGGCGTCCGTGTGGGTGTCCGCGTGGGACGGCCGCTCGACCGCAGCGTCCGCCCCGTCCGTGTCGGCGGCCGCCGGCGCCTCTCGGCGCGGCCCTGGGAGCGGCGCCGTCGCAGCCGCCCGGCCAGCGCGGCCCTCAGGAGCCCTGGGCTCGCACGCTCCCTTCGCACCCGCGGCTTCCTCCCTCCTCCCCTGCCCAGCCGTTAACTCGGCCTCCTGGCTCGCTAAGCTCAGCTGCTGTAGTTGCTCTCTGTTCTAAAGCCACCAAACCCGTATCCAGGCTGGAAGTTGCAGCCGCCGCTCAGCAGCATTCCCGGTGAAGAGCGGGGGCAGCGTTTGTGCGGCCACAGGGCCGCCTCTCCCGCTGCCCTCGGCCTCGTCCCCTCCAGCACCAGCCTGGTGGCYGCCTCGAGCTACCACCAGGCACAGAGCAGCGGCTGGGCACGGCGGGAGGACAGGGAGCACGTGGAGTCCCAAGGGTGCCTCAGCCTGGGAGCCGGGTCCCAAGGATGCCGGCAGGGAGCTCCTGCTGAGCAGCGGCACCAAAACCCCCCAGGCCCTTCAGGCCGGGCGCTGCCCTGCTGYGGGGAAGGAGCCGCTGCGGCAGCTGGATGCTCCCCGCGTTCATGCTCCTCCTTGGGTATTTTGTGGAGCCCCCCTTAATGATTGGGCTGTCACCTCTGCAATGCACAAGGTGCGCAGCTCCTGCTGACTGCATGTGCAGCCCTGTGTGCCCCAGGGGCTTTTTGCTCTAGCAGCCCCAAAAAGACTTGCAGTGCCAGAGCAGCACTGTACCTGCGGTCTGGATTTATAATGGGGGAAAGGGAAGAGAAGGAGAAAGGGAAAGGGCTTCTCCTTCAGCATTTTTCAGTTCTGCTCAGTTCCTCCAAGCACGTTAATTCCTCAGCTSAGTACTGGCTTCGCAGTCCTGAGAAATGATCCATCTGCAGAGCGGGTCGAGCCCCAGCAGCACGGCGCTGCACATCAGAACTCTTGCTGGTGGTCTCAGCCATGAGGAGGACGTCTCCTGTGCTCAGCAGAGGGGCACACCAAGCTCCCAAATACACACCGAGCTCCCAAGTACACCAACCTTTGCATCCATTGCAGAGCCTGAGCAAGGAGATACCCCCTTCACTCCCACTTCCAAAGCACCTCTGAAACTCTTGGTGAGGTAAGCACCATTTCAGTGAAATGCCCTGTGCAGAGGAGGAGATGATGGCTCCTCTCCTATGATGCACAGAGCTGTGGGAGCATATCCCTGTACGGAAATGTAGATTCCTGCCGCACATGATGTTATCCTGGAAGCAGACTAAAACCACCAATGCCTCCCTAGATGCTGAACAGCTGCTGGATGCCAACAACAGCCCCTCAACCCCTGCCTCGCTCCTCTCATATGTGGAAGCCAGGCCATTAGGGTTATATCACTCACACAAGACCACTGCCAAACTTGTGCAGCTCTTGGAGACATTTTAATACTTCCTCCACAAGCAAGGCATTTCTCCTGGATTTTCTGTACGCAATCTCTTCTCACCTCTCTCCAATGATGAAGCAGCAGTAGAATCCAAATCATGGTTAAACAAGCATTTTTCAGATACTCTAGAAATCTAGTAGCTAGTTAGTAGCTATCTTCTYGCTACTAGCTAGAATCTCTGACTGTGTCTGTCATTGTGGTGTCAAAATACTCATCATCAAGAAGAATCCAAGGGAAATCGGTGAGCTCAAGGGAAAGAAAGGGCATCAGAAATGATTTATTCTGAGACACGTGCTTTTTCTCCACCCCAACTTTTTAGCTCAGCTCAACTTGTGTGAGTAACAAAAGCCAAACGCATCAGACTGGACAGACTGACCTTAGCTTTCACAAAAAGAGCTGTCATGATGACTGCGTAAATGAAGAAGAATCCATCCAGCAAGTAGCAGAGTCTTGGGTCTGTCAGTCCAAGAACGGGCACAGCACCTGCACAGAAAGAGCAGAACATGAACACAGGAGGCCGTTTGCACTAGCTGGTGCTTGTGTTAGCCGACGCAGGGATGCCACCAGGCATGGTGATGAATGAAAGAAGACAGAGCATGAGGGCAAGCCTGTCCATTTGACAGGGAGACAGAAATCTGAATGAGACTCATAGAATAATTCAAGCTGGARAGGACTTTAGGAGGTTATTTGGTCCAATCTCCTCTCAAAATGGAGTCAGTTAGACCAGGATATCCAAGACTTCATCTGSTTGAGTTCAGTGTATCTCCAAAGATGGAAACATTCATAACCTCGTAGGGCACCCACCGCAGTGTTTGGCCTCTCTCAGACAGGACAGGGCATTTTACCCAGCGCTCCCCACACTGCAGGGCCCAAGTTGTCCTCCCTGCTCCCCACATGCAGTTACTGGAAGTGCCTGGCTCAGTGCACTGGGAATAAGCAGGATTCACTACTACATCTGGTTGGGTTAGGAATTTTTCACCAGCTAAAACACACATATGTAAAAACATTTCAGYTTTGACCAAATTTTAGGGAATCACTCATCAGATACAGGATAAAATTTTCTGGAAAATGTAAAGACAGACTATATTTATTTCKATATTATGTATCTATTATATATAATATCTATTATATATAATAATAAYATATATAATGTAATAATATTAGATATTATATCTAGACTATAGTTATTTTAAATATTATTTCTAAATAATAATTTCTAGAATAGAGAAACCTCTATTCTATCTTATTTGGAATAGGAATCTGAAGATACACCTGCCATATCACAGGACACATACCAAAACCATGCAGGTCTGTCACCTTGGCTATGAGAAGTGTCCGGAGTTCTCAATTTGGGGATGTTAGAGACTATTAAATGTAAGAGGGGGAAGTGCAGGCAGGACTTATTTACTAMCTTTTTACTCCAAACATAAGGATATGTCCGTGAAGTGCCCTGAGACATCCTGTTCTATTTTTTGGTTGAGAGGGAGGCTTTCAAACTGTATTCTTTGTATAAGAACCTCAACAACAGGCCTTCTTGTGAAAAGATCTGAGACAGGAGAAGGAAAGGAAAGGAAAGGAAAGGAAAGGAAAGGAAAGGAAAGGAAAGGAAAGGAAAGGAAAGGAAAGGAAAGGAAAGGAAAGGAAAGGA